TCTCATTCTCAGTATGCAGGTAAATTCCAAGCAATGTAGAGGTTGCAAAGACTTTCCTTTTTAAGGATCTGTGTAAATATGGATCAAGGTTTTAATGATTATGGCAAAAATATTAAATATTCAAATTCTGCAGTTATTCTGAGAGTTTTATACTACTTATTTTTCCTCTTTCACCTCAGGGTCATCACTATGAGATTTATCTCTTGCTTCCAACAATTCTCATATGTCTTTGTTAAATTCTATTTTTTAAAACTAAATGCTACTATTCCTTTTTGGAATCATATACCTTTATAAAAGTGAATGAGTCTTAACAGATTGAATTAAAACTTTTCTTCCAACAATCTGTGTATGTTGAGTTCTAAGGAATTGTATCTTTTTTCTGACTTACACTTATTATTAAAGATAGGAATGCTTGTAGTATATTGAATACCAACATACATAATGTCCATTGCACATAGTAGGAACTTATCAATCCTATCAAATAATTGTATGGCCTTTTATTCTGTTTGTAGGAACAATTTAATCTTAGCACAATATAAAAAATTAATACAAATTCTTCTTTGAAAGTCTCCATAGGAAGTCTGCAGCCTTCTTCATAGTAGGAGGAAGTGCCTCCATTTATAATTCAGGATCTACCATTGCCGCCTCTTTCTTTAGCTGGGTCAGTGTTAAAAAGTCTTTTTCTGACAAGCCAAAGGCTGCTACCCGACATCTCTTTGTAGGGTCTAGTTCTCTTGTAAACCAGGAGTCTCCATGGACTGCGCACTTTTATTTATCTCCTTTTCCTCATGAGAGTAAAGGAATGAAAAATGCAAAGACCAACAACCCACAGAGTCAAAGGGGGGGCCAGCATAGAACAGACATTTCAGTATTTCTGGCAGCTTGAAAGCTAATGAGGACTTGGTGACTGTAAAATTATTGGTGGGGGTGGGGGGCGGTTGCCACCCAGTTGGATTTGGGGGCTGCAGCTTAGGAGGCACTTTGGGATCTCTTGAAGCTTGTGACTTTGAATAGCAGGAAGTTGGGAGGCCCAGTCCCAGGTGGGCTGAAAATCACCCGGTTTCATGGGATGCCTATAGTCAGCAGGTTGAGAACCTCTCCTGGAGAGAAGAGCAACAAAGAAAAATCCATTGGGTCTAAACTCCTGAAGATGGGTGGACTGCAGCCCCTTCCCTGTTGCCTGAAGTGTGTTCCAGTGAAAGTGGCCTTGCTCTTCATTGTCACTCTCCTCCCTGTCTTCAGAATAAGTACAAAGGCACGTTTGTGCTGGGCTTCTCTGTTCAACTAGGGCATGGCTTTGAGGAGCCCGGGCTGATGTGGGTCCACCTGACCCCCCACAGGTCTCATGTTCATGGTCTGCTTGAATGGGCATCGTACCCATGGGACAGTCTCTGTAGAAGAGGACATCACTGAGACTCTTTGTTGACATTAGCTTAATGGGATGAAGTCTAACCTTAGTGATGTTTTTTCAGGTTCTGAAAAATGATAGTAACCTTAAGGCTGTATATATAGCTTTCCAATCCCAATGAAGTTGTTGTGTAATTTGGAGCCATCTCCAAATGTCCTCACAAAAAGTACATATATGTATGTGTTTGTGTTTTCTTTTTCTGAACTTCAAGGTCATGATTGTTTCCTTCATGTGTTGTGAGTTCCTGCTCAAAATGGAGTATTTGTGAAATAAACTAGAGTTTTATTTATGTAACTGAATAGAACTTTGTTAGTTTTCATTTTAGGGTAATATTTATTTTAGTAGATTTGTTGTACTTTGAAAATTGAGCTCTGAGAACTAAAATTGACTGAAGCAGGTTTTCTTTCAACATTAGCAAAATTTCTGAGGATTGTTTCATCTCTATTTTTTAACCTAAAATGGTCCATGTATTTTTATAGCTTTATAGATACATTTTCCGTGGAGAGCAATTTATCTAGATATTCTGCGGCACATAAAAGATTGCTTCAGAGTCTTATACTGAAACATATTAAGGGGAAGTTATGGGACCTCTGGAACTTAGGGCTTGAAAGATGTAAATTTCAGACCATCTCCAGTGCTGTCTTGCTGGGACTCTCACAATTTAAATTTTGGCATTGCACCGTGTCTTTGCTGCTTGCATATTAAGAAATTTTTAACTTAAATGTTAACTTGGATTGTGTGCACATGGGAACAACTCTTGAGAGGCGAGTTGATCTTCTCATACAGGATGTAGATGTAAATTCTGACTGCGTAGGACCACTTATTGCTTGACCTGTACTTTTCTAATGAGATGTGAAATGAATATTTATCTGGTACAATTGTACATTTTCCCCCAGTCTTGAAACTTTATGGGTAGACAGTTGTTTTCATGATATCTCCATCATACCTATGTTTTGTTGATTTAACTTTTTGCAAAAACTTTGGAGAGTCATCAATTCTAGAGGAAAGACTCCATGTAAGATTAGGGTCTAAATACTTGGAGGTTTTTGGCTGGCTCTGACCCTAGATTTTTCTGTGAACTTGGTTACAAGTTAGTTAAGAAGAGCCACCTCATAGCCTTGTTACCAGGGTCAGAATAGATAACGTCAATGAAAAGTCTTTGTAAAGCATAAAGTAGGTGAAAGTTTTAATTAATTCATCTTGTACATATTTGCTTTTAATGTTTTAATCTTAGTCATGCAAGAAGGCTGGTTTTAAAATGGGAATAACAAAGCCAGGCCTGGTGGCCCACGCCTGTAATCCCAGCAGCTCTGAGACAGGAGGATTGCGAGTTCAAAACCAGCTTCAGCAATGGTGAGGCGCTAAGCAACGCAGTGAGACCCTGTCTCTAAATAAAATACAAAATAGGGCTGGGGATGTGGTTCAGTGGTCGAGTGCCTATGAGTTCAATTCCTGCTAGCACCCCCCCCCCCCCCCCCCCAAAACAACAACAACAACAACAACAAAACCCCCCACAAAACAAAAGGGAATAACATTGAAATACGATTACTACATTTGCTACTGATGGAAGAGAGTACAAAGCTGTGATGTTTTTGCCCCAAAAGTTATTTCCGTATAAGTATGTATGTCTAAAATAAGGACAGTGGTATTTTATTTGGGAGAAACCCTAGAGATAAAAAAGGATGAATGGACGCATTGCTCTTACAAGTGGAGGCTGGGCAGGAGCCTTACGTCACTGTTGTGTGATGTAAAGCTCTGTTTTCCATCCTTGTTTGTTGGAGTACCCTCTGTGTTGGTGCCTCTCTCAGACTCTGATCATCCTGGATGATGGGCAGATATTGATGGAGATGCATGTTAGTGCTGCCATTGTGCCTCATTCTGATGACAGTCCTGCCTCGGCTTGTGGAAGGTTTCCATTGGGAATTGTGGTAGTGAGTAATAAATACATGGTGGAAATACGTGATCATCTAATACATACTTACAATAAACCAAAATGAAATGTTTATTAATTGCTTAGTGTTAGCTGGGCATGGTTTTATTTTGTTTGTGTGTGTTTCTTCTTTAATACTCTTAGCAGCCTATAAGCACTATTTATTGATGAAAATAATGGAGTGAAATTACCCTAAGTTGTACATGCAGTGTTGGCAGAACCTGCCTTGCCCAGCTCTGCACCCCCACCCTCTGTAATAACTTTCTTTCTATAGATTTGAGCTAGAAGAGGTTATATCAAGCCCTTGAAGGACCTAAGCTACGCATAAACCTCATTTTAGTCAGCTTTGTGTTGTTGTGGCCAAAAGATGCGACAAGATCAACCAAGGGAAGGAAAGTTCATTTTGGCTCACAGTTTCAGAGGTTCAGTCCATGCATAGCTATAGGCCTGAGGTGAGCAGGACATCAAGGTGGAAGGGCATGGCGGAGGAAAGAAGCTGGCAACAAGGCAACCATCAGCTCACCTGGGACAGACTAAAAACTCCAAGGGCATAACCCCAGGACTTACTTCCTCCTGCCACACCCTACCTGCCTACAGTCCCCACCAGTTAATTCATATCAGTGGATTACTCCATCAATCAGGTCTCACCCTTGATAATCTAATCATCCTACCTATGAATATTCTTGCACTGTTTCGTACATGAGCTTTTGGGGATACCTCATACCTAACGTCCCTGGACCATTACCAGAAGCTCAGTTGAATACTGGGTGGATCCTAGGCAGCTCACCTGTGGCTTGCTATCTTTCTCCCAGGAAGTTCAGCATCACGGTGTGAGTTAGTGGAATCCAAGGAACCATGTTGCTCTGCTTTCTGCTGCCCATGAAGGCTGAGGGTCTCCCCAAACCTCTGGAGACCTGTACTGTGGAAGAGTCATCGGGAGGGTACTCAAATGCAGTCCTTCCTTGCTCACAGGCTGTCACCCTGTTTTGGATCCTGTAACTTTTATACTTAGATAACAGCAGCAGCCTCAGTTTCCCTGCTTTTAGAATCTTCTGTTTCCTTTCAGACCTTTACAGTATTTCTAGAAATGTCCAGCTTCTCAGATGTCAGTGTCACTTCTCAGCTGTCAATTCCACTGGCTTCCCAGCCCTGCAGGCTTGGACTGTGCCGTGTTGGTCCAGTAACTGTATTTTCTTTCTCCATTTCTGTTTCTTTTCTATCCCTCTTGTTAGTATGCTGTTTCCTCTCAGTCCAAAGAACCCTTTTTATCCTACCCCATCAACCTTTTACATAATTCAGGGCCTGGCTTTATTTTCCCATGGTAATTTTCTCTGATTTCTCCATTCCTTCTTGGCCTCTTTCCGCTTGGAATCTTGTTGTCAGTTAAGATTTCTAAATAGCTTATAAGACTTCGGCACCTCAGGTTCTTTTATCCTTTAGATGACCAGTTGTGGGCAAGGTAGGTCACTACTTACTGATAGATCTGTGATTTCAACTGTAGTACTTTTTGCTTAAGCATAGTGCTTAAAATTAAGAAAAAGATATATCAAAATAACAAATATCAAAATAACACCAACATACAGAAAACTACAGTGATTTTAAGTTTACTTGATATTTTACTGATGTGTTCAAATGTTTTTTTATTCTCCCTTGTCTTGCCAGCAATCAAAGAGAAGTATGCAGACTGGACCGAATTCCTCATACATGATTTGACTGGTTCGCGGACAGCACCTGCCAACCTGCTGGAAGGTGTATGTATTGTTATTATACATCTCTTATATCTCTGAAGCATCCTGTCCCATGAGCTCAGACCAAATGGCACCTCTGCATATATCCTTCTGCAGATCCATGCGTAGACACAGATATCTTTATGCATATAGCCCCACTTCCTGTTTTGTGCTGAATCACTTAGGTGATGGATTTGAATGATGTGAACTAATCTGTACCCTGTGGTACAGTCAGTGAGTGGAAAATTTGCTCTATGTGAATGCATTTTTATGTTAGGATGCCTCCTCACTATCCTATAAGTTTGAGCCTTTCTCCTTTATTAGTTAATGTCAATAAAATCACAAGAGTGATGAATAGTTAAATAGGTGATGCCTAAGCATGTGTGTGCTCTCGTGTAGTCTCTTGGGGCACACTGAGCAGTGGTTCCATCCAGTATTCCTCTTCAGACATGTAACCCCAAGATGGGAATGCCCGTGTTAACGAATAATGGAGCTAGCTTCCCTCATTGGAAGAAAGGAGAAAAGGCTGACTGTATTTAAATATAGTTAAGGCAATTTCAAGGTGCTGAAGAAAACATTCAAACTGAAATCTTTATGGTTCATTTGAAAAGAATTTTATGATGAAACATTAATATTTATCATGTATAAGGAAACAGCAAGAGAAAGATTCTGTGTCATAAGTAATTATTGAATTACCAAATGTGCTTTAAGAGTGCGGAAAACTTAATGAATGACTGGGAATTAAATGTGGATTTTGACAGTGCCATTATTATTATTTCAACCCTAATGTTCCACCTTCTCAAAAAAAAAAAGAAAAAAAAAAAAAAGAAAAGAAAACACAAAACAAAACAGTAGCACTGCTACACATTTTTGCCTGATGTATTTGTTTATCTTAATGGCTATTTTAATTGTTTGGTGAACAAATCAAAATGATTGTTCACCCTTTCAAATTGTCTTACTATGTAAAATTTTTTAAGAGGTATCTGCCTGTTAGGCTGACTGAACAAACACCCTTTTCATATGTTAATGTATGCGAAGAAGGTTCCTTAGAAGGGACAATAATTATATATTTTCCAAACCAATTATCAGGTTAATTGGTTAAATGTAGAAATAACTGTACATAATGGTTGCACTTAGCTGACCATTGGATATATTACCTCTACACGTGGTGCTCCACTCACCTAAGCAAAGTGGGAGAGAGTCTTGTCTGCTGAGAGTAGTGGCCATTTTAAGAAAACTCTGTTGAGGAGTCATGGTGAAAATTTATAGCTCCCTATGAGGTACATCTGTCTATTTGAAAAGTAGACATTTTGCTACCATGTTTTTTCTAGCTCCAGGCAAATTTGAGTATAACTCTTCTTAAAAGCACAGTAATTTTTTGTGAATGCAATTTTATCTGTGAAGGGTGATTTGTTTGGTGAAAACCTAAGACAAACTGTTGTTTTCTATTTGTTTGTGGAGTTTGGTGCTGGGTACAGCACTGGGTACGTGGATGTGTGTGAGGGAGGAAAGGGAAGGGGAGGGCGAGGGCTGTGCAGAGGATGGGGGTGGAGGGAAACACCAGATTGTTTGCCAATAGCTTGGATGATGGTGTGAAAAAATATTATCTTCTGCTGTCATCTGTTTCCATGAGAACTTTAAAATAAAGTTTAAAATAAGGAGTTTTGCTTCTGTTTAAACAGCCTCTGCGAGGGAAAGGCCCTATAGACCTCATTACAGTTGATTCCTTAATAGAACTTCAGGATTCTCAGAACCCTTTTCAGTACTGGATAGTTAGTGTGATTGAAAATGTTGGAGGAAGATTACGCCTTCGCTATGTGGGATTGGAGGACACTGAATCCTATGACCAGTGGTTGTTTTACTTGGATTACAGACTTCGACCAGTTGGTTGGTGTCAAGAGAATAAATACAGAATGGACCCACCTTCAGGTAAGGGCCAAAGCTTTTGCTACTGTGAAGTATTTTAGGAAAAGTTGTAATATTTTCTGGGATGTGTCTCTGGAACGTTTATTAGATCTGTGCTATCTTTTACATCTGAGCATGTGAATTTTAAGTGTGTCAACTTCAGAATGCTTTCTACGGGGAATAAAATCCAAGACCTCAGTCGATAGCATTCACAAAGAAGAAAGTAATGTTGGAAGCCCTAGGGAAGTTGATCTAGTTCCTTTGGAGTCATGGTTCAGAAATGAAAGATGTAATAAATTGGGATTGAGCATGTGCCCCCCTCTCTTCTTCAAGGATTTTGTTGAGACTAAGTAGGTTCCCTAAATCCATCAATCTGTCCGTCCATCCTTCCATCCATTTATTCATCCATCCATCCATATCAACTTATCTATATATTCATACATATCCATCCATCCACCCTTCTACCCATCCACCCAGTTTGAGTAGCCAAACTACTTGCTTATCATTATATAATCCATTCCAACCAGGAAATAGCACTAAGAGGATCATCATGCTATTTTCCTGTCACATCATCAATTTTAGATAACTTTAAATGCAGTGTCAAGTGACATTGCATGGGCTTAATTGAACAGAATCGTGGATTATGCTTTATGACATTGCATGGGCTTAATTGAATAGAATCGTGGATTATACTTTCTGACATAACCATTCTTGAGTGTTCACTATGGGCCAGGAGATTTTGCATCTTCTGTGTTGTTTATTTTGGTTCCAAAAGAGTGTTGCATGTTTGGTGTCAGTTTCATAGCAGAGAAAATTGAGACCAGAGTTAAATTAACTTGTCCAGGGTTGCTAGCTTATAGGGAGCAGGTTCTATGCTTATTCCAGTTCATGCTCTTGCTTACTCATACTGGTCTTCCCAACCTTTTGATGGGAAACCTCAGAATAAAAATGTTGGCTTCTTGTGCAATTAAAGATACCCAAGGAAGAAATATGTATTTCTGATCTTCCTTATGGTCAGTGTTACGTATTCCAAGCAACTATTTAGCTCTTGGCTTGATTAGAATCGCCAGAAAACTGTTATCCTCTAGCAATTGCTGTGTTGCCTTGAAAACCCGAAGGCAAGGAGTTGTGTTTTACCTCTTCTGTCACTCAAGTGCTTTAACCAAAAGATTCCTGGTTCTGGACCCCTTGTGTTTGCCTCTGTGTTAAATCTGACAGGTGCGTAGACATGCCACCCAGTATTTTATTATATTTGTATTGTCCTCAGTTTTTGAGAAGCAGCCAAAAACGAGTTTTATATCCTGGGTAATTTTGGATGATGATGAAGGGCCTGTCCACATCATGAGTAAAGATGTGAACTCAGGTTGCCTTGGGATTCACAGGCTGGGAGGAAAATCTCCTTTGTGGGGAAAGGCGTGTGTGTAAACCCCAGCGCAGGACCTAATTGCTTTATAAATTATAGAGGAAAGACGGCCTTGCTGTGTAACAATGTACAGCAAAGCAAAGAATTCCTGGTAGCTTCTGGTGTTCTGTCATGCTTTTTCCCTGTGAAATCCTGGAACTCATACTTACACAAGAATGGAAAGTGTCCTTGTAGAAAATTAGGAAATACTTGCTCCTAAGCTCTCCCTCTTTAGATAATTTCATGTCTTTAGGATATAAAACTAAATTTTGCTTACTTGTCTTAGAATTTTCTGGATACCAGTTGTCCATTTCACATCGTGCCGGGATCACGTGGGGCTCTACGCCTAAAAAAGATAGTCGTCATCAGATGCGGGTTTCCTCAACACGTAAATTGTCAACAAGAAAGCTTATCTATGGGGGAAAGAAAATAAGAGGTGAAAAGACACTCCAAATAGGACTTTAAGTTCCTCATCTACGGTAGTTACAAGATGAAAACTAGATTCTGTTGCTTCATTCAGCAAAATGACACCCCTGGGAAGAGAGACAATTATTACCTAGGTTTTACGCATGGGAACAGAACCTGATGCTTTGGATTTACGTCGATTAATTTCAGGTCCCATTGGGACTTGTACAACTTACGTGTAGCACTATTTCCTTAACTGAAATATAGGTAGGATTAAAATTTGCAGATTTGCATAGGAAATATTAGAATAATTTTGTTACTCTCAAACACTGTTAAGCTTCCAGCATCAATGGGCAGTTAGGATCAGAGTTGAAAGGGTGGTGGCGGTGGCAGGTGGGTGGCTCTTGGCCCTACTTGGAGGGCAGGCTGTGCCAGCTGATCCCTGCTCTAAGGGACCCTCATTCCCCCTCAGTACCACTGCTGCTGTTAAAAATAATCCTAACTCCACCCCCCCGCCCCCCAGTTTTACTTTTTAAAGGGCACAATATTTCTTAACTGTTCAGTAGAGGTGGTAGAAACAGATAATGGGAAGTTATACTCTTCAGACTCTGTAGGAACAAGTACTAGATTTTATACACTGTGTCCACCTCTGAGGATATATACCATTGAGCCTTTCCTTATCTGGCCTGAATCAGGGGAAGTAGCATTCTGGTGCTTGGGACAGGAGATGGTTATTCATTTGCTGGGCTGCTGAATCGTATAAGGCACATCCAATGAGTGGCATTTTCTAGAAATACCTGTTGTGATCAGAGGCTTATGCTTTGGTTTCCCAGAAAGTTTTGGTAGGTCATTGAGGTCAGGGGTCCATTAGGTGGCCCCCACCTCCTTTCTCTTTCTGAATGTTTAGAAAGCAAGATAAGAGTTTTAGATGTTCTTGCAGAAGCTAGAAATTTTCTCCGTATTTATTTTTTCCCAAGGCCTTCTCTAAACTTTCTTTTAAAAATTTTTAAAATTCTTGCTTTAAATAGTTCCCAGAGTCAGGATGTTTCTGAGTATAACTTAGATGCTTTTTGCCTAAGTTGTTTCTTAGTCCAAAATGAGTTGTTGCTTTCACTATGGGTCTGTTGTTGCTGCCATAACAAAATATCACAGGCTCTGCACCTTAAACAGCAGATATTTCTTTTCTCATAGTTCTGCAGGCTGTAAATCTAAGATCAGGTGCCAGTGGGGTCAGGCTGGTGAGAGCTCTCTTCCAGGCTTGCAGATGGCCAGGTGCTGGCTGGGTCCTCACATAGTAGATTGAGAGTGAGCTTTTTATTTGAGTGTCCCTTTTTATTAGGACACTGCATCTTGAGGGCCCTTTCCACATGACCTCCCCTAACCCTAAGCACCTTCCAAGGGCTCATTCTCCAAATACTGTCACATTGGGGATCAGGGTTTCTACATATAAAGATTTGGGGGTACAGATATTCAGTTTATAATATTTCCCAAAGGGCGCTTTCTCTTACCAACTGTATAGTGGTTGTTCCTTGCTGGCAGCACCTGGTAGAGGAGAAAGGAACAGAGGGGGTTTGGGGGGGGGCCCAGTCAAGAAGCCCCCCCCCCCAGGCCTCAGTTTATTTGTGGTTATTTATTTATTCATGGTTATGTTGTGTATTCCTGCTTTCTGCAGTGCTACTAGGAAACAACTTGCCAAACACTTGCACCAAAGGAGACCGCCCTGTTTTCCTGTAGGCTTTTAGTTACAGATGAGTGCGGACACATTTTAATTGCTTACAACTTCCCTACAAACAGAACTGGGATGCTGCACTCCATTAAATAACCTGCAGCATGATCATTTTAAGAAAATGTTTTATGTTCTTTTAATGGTGTTATTTATTGTCTATAAACTTGCTGGTGTAACCAGAGTGGCTCTATCTTGTGAAGCGTGCACAGGGACCGTAGTTCTCTGCTTCCTGCTTTTCCAAGGTGTCCGACTCTGCAGGTGTTGTGTAGACAGGCAGAATCGCAGCTGAGGGTCACCTTTGAGAGAGGAAGGATGCCTGGTTGTAGAGTTAGATTCCATTTCAGGACTTAATACCCTTAGAAGATGGAGAATCATGAGCTGGTAGGACAGAGGCAGAGATCTTGGGAACTGCTTGGGGCTGCTTGTTCCATTTGTCTCTGCTGTGGAGGGAGAAAAGTGGCATCCCATGGTGGAGGAGTCAGCTTTGAATGAGTGACTTGGCCAGCCAGGCCTCCAGTGCCAGTCTTGGAGACTGGCATTAGAGGGGCATGACAGTGCTGCTGGTGTCTGCCGCATCTCGGCACCAAGTTCTGGTAGCGTGGACCCAACCCAGGTCATAGTGGGTTTCCCTTTCTATTGGCCTTGTGTCTTTTTTTTTTTTTTTTCCTAACCACTCTTCTGCCTTCTCTTGTCTCCAGGGCACCCTTCCCCACTCAGAGATCACAGTCAAGGGTATAACTGGTCAGGATTACAGAGCAAGAGAGTGAAGGGTGCCAATGTGGTAGACCGAACCTCTCCTTTTATTCATCCTCTGTGTTCTCAGACTTTCTTTGCTCTTGACTTTGGAAATTCCCCTTGTTTTTCATAACTGATCCTTTTTTCTACCACGTGTGGACTGAATTCCCCATCACCCTACTTGCAGATGGCAGGAAAAGTGAATTTGCCCTTGAGGAGGAGTTGCTGGTGTCTTGTGTGCTATTTCTCTCCTGACCCTCTTGGAATGGCTGAGCTGGTGTCCTTTGGCCTTTGCTTCCTGCAGCCCTCTGCATTGCCTCCCCTGCACCAAGGTTTTGATGCTGTGCCCCTGGTTTGAGACTCTCCTCCTCATCCTCAGGGAGCAATTTCAGAGCTCTGTGGACTGGTCCCTTGGCATACTCTGTGGGACTCTGTGAGAAGCCACAGTATCTCCCTCAGTGTCCCTCTCAGTAGTCGGGGGATGGTTCTTTTGGTCTCTGCACTCCAGTATTTGCTGAGGCTCTACTGTCTGTCTTTAAATATGTTGGATACTACTGAGAGGAGTCACATCTGTTTTTTGTTCTGACACAGAAATGCTGAATTGGGATTTTTTTTTTTTTTCTTTCTGCCAAAGGTGGAAGTCTTTAGGAAGTGCTAGAAAGGATTATGGACAGTGCACACAAGTAGGGGATTTTTTGTCCTAGAGCAGCACCCTTTGTGTGTCGCAGTGTAATGAACAATGGCAGGGGACAGGGTATTGATAACTTGTCTAGTTCTGTAATTATGCCCTGAAAAGACTAAATAAACTGCTCAAACAGAGAAGTTTAGAGCTCAAGGTGAGTCCAGAGGCTCTGAGGGTTCAAATATATGGCTCCATTGCTAAAAAGCAGACATGCAAGAAATTAAAAATATAGCCCGAAGGTTTAATGTTGCCTTTTAACTGTGCTTAAATTCATATTCGTATCCTAACTGTCTGTCTGGAGTAGCCGGGTTGATATAGTGAAGGTATAAACATATCTACTTCCAGTGAGTGCGCCTACAAATCCTGTTTTGATAAGGTCTTAAATCTGTTGAGATCAGGCCATAAAAATCCCCCTGCAGTTTCAGCAATAGGTAAAAACAGTGCTCAACAATTTTTTCCTTTTAATTTTGCATTCAGACTGTGTAACCTCTGTGCGTAAATCTTTCTCTCCCCCATTGCCTGGGGAAAAAATATGGGCAACATGTGGTGTGTTAGCAACATTTCAAGTGTAAATATGAAACTTGGTTGGTAAATTTTAATTTACCTTTTAATAATTTTCTGACTTATAGGGACTATTTTTAGCATACGAGAGCTTAGAGATTTAGTGAAAAATATGTTGTAATAACTGCAAAAACCTGACAAGAGTTTAGAAAATAATCAGATAATAAGTTCTTCATCTGTGGTTAGTACATCTTTGGTGATATATGGAATTTGGGGGCCATGAATGATTAAAGGTTTGGCTAATGTGATTAATGCTATTAAATTACTTACAAAATGCTCACAAAATGCGTACAACTGTTCCCCGAGGAAGAGCCCTATTGAGTTTATTCTTCATCTCTGATAGCAGAATCCTGAGTTGCTATTTAATTTTGGAAAATCCCTTTAGCAGGTGGCGGTTTGTGGCAGACTGAGGGTGCTGGGGCCTGATAAACTCAGGAAAGAGCCACCGGGCAGAACATTCCAGTACTTAAACTCTTCTGTGGTTTGCTGTTGATACAGAAATCTATCCTTTGAAGATGACCTCTGAGTGGAAATGTGCTCTGGAAAAATCCCTTATTGTTGCTGCAGAGTTTCCTCTTCCAATGGAAGTGTTTAAGGTAAGCCGTGGGTTCTCAGCAGCTGAGCTCCTCCTTTTAAGTGCAAACTGTTGAAGGAGTGCTGTACGCTCAAACCCTTTCCCACTGTTAAAAGTGCAACCTTCTCGACCAGTTTGCATTTAGAATGTTTAAAATTGTGTGTTTCCTTTTGCTATTTTTAGGACAATCTTCTTAAATATCTATGTTATAAGATGCTGGTAAAATTGTTTAAGTTACTGTTTTTCTCTATAATGTACATCTCATTTTCATCTTCTCGCCCCTTACCAAAGAAACAAAAGGAAATGCAGCAAGATTAATTTTAGCATTTGTTTGGGAAAAACCATTGACAATGATGTTTCTCCAGATGGTACAATTTTCTTGAAGGCATGTGCAGAGAGCGAAGGACCTGGAACATCCCAACTGCAATGGATCACCGAGTTCTTAACCCTTTTTAAAAACTATGCTTAAAATTTACATGTTTCTGTCCTCTTTGGAGAGGACGGGGACAGGATGTTGGTCTTCTAGAGTGGGCCCAGGGAGACTCTCTGGGGTCTGACTATACCCACACAGTTTCTCTTTTTTATTTTATGAGCTTCTGTTAACTAGCGAACCTGGCTCCTGAGCCTTTGAGGATTCTGCAATATTAATTGGGCCAGCTCTCGGCTTTTCTGTTGAAGGCCTCGATTTGGTTTTGCTGAATATGTTAAATTAGTCCCTTCTTGGTCATCAGCTGTTTGGCTCTCCATACCTTTGTTGTTGCTGAGTTGGCTTGTGTATTTTTATTTCTTTTAAATATGTTATAGTTTGGGTTGGAGTATAGAAAGAGAGAAAATGGACTTGTTTTTTTTTTTTGACACCCTAACCTGACACTGCCATATTTAAAACACTTGTCATTTGGACGGGGGCAAACTGGAGTTTCTACACCTCTCTCAGACCTACCAAGCCTGGCGTGGTTTCATGTGCTTCCTCTGTAGTCTTGGGTCATGGAGTGTCTCTTCTGGTCAGGGGTACCAGGGGAACCAGGCTGCCTCCACTCTAGCATCTTGTTTGTTTTTAATGCTCTTCAAATGTTAAATTCTTACTCAGCTTTCTATCTCAAATACAAGTTTCCTAAAGAATTAAATTGTGTTACATGCCTGTAGGAATGTGACAGTGAAGCCCACCATTATGTACAATTGTAAGGTGCCAGTAGACAAAACAAATAAAAGAAAGAAATCCTTTCCAGGGCCTCTGGACCCTGATGAGCGTGAGCCTCCTCTTGGCCTCCTGTTCTGTTGTAATTGTGGTCAGTCATTCCTGTGATTCCTTGTGTAACACCCATCTTGCTTTCCCGTTGAAGTGCCAATAAGATAAGGACCATATCTGTTTTGTCCAGTGTTAAAAACATAATTCCTTGCCCATGATAGTACTTAATAAAGATTCATCAAATAAATGAACTCATTTTTGAATGGACATATGCATTAAAAAATTCTGAGTTAATGTTGTTATAGATTAATTGGATATGCAGTTATTTAAAAGTGTGAATACTAAGACTGCAAAGGTACAAGCATTAATAATCTTGATATATCTCTAATTAAAAATTAACTAATTTATTGAATATTTATGAAGCAGCTATTCTTTGCAAAAGGTGTTATGTGCTGTTGACCTAATCCTGGGGTTTAATAGTTTGTTCATATTTTCCAAAATACAGTTACCTTCTTCTTTCACCTATGAGAATTCACACAATTATTTTGATAAAGTACATGAAAATTATCATCTCATTCAATATTTGTTTATAATTAAGCATTGTCATTAAGAGTAGATATTGAGGGCTAGGATTGTGGCTCAGCGGTAGAGCGCCCACCTAGCATGGGCGGGACCCGGGTTCGATCCTCAGCACCACATAAAATAAATAAATAAATAAATAAAGGCATTGTGTTGTGTCCATGTACACCAAAAAGTAAATATTAAAAAAAAGAGTAGATATTCAGTATTACTTTTGGGCCTAGCCCACGGCAGGGTGTATGGTGTATGGTGTAGGCACTTTGTAAATGAAACTTGGTTGCATTAGATATTTTGTGGTCTTAAAGTTTGTGAGATACTTTTATAAATGATTTTTCTTATTTCAATTTGGAAGAGAAGTGGGCAGTGAATGTTTATATATTTAATTTGGAGGCCATGGGAATGACCGTTTATCCTAAGGCTGTTGTAGCAAATGATGGTGGACTGGGTGATGTGAAAAACAGGAGTTCACTCTCCCGTACTCTGGAGGCTGCAGTTGGGATCCAGGTGTTAGCTGGATGGGACTCAACCTGCAGGCCCCGAGACAGTCCCAGGAATCTGCCTTGGCTTCTGGTGGCTGCTGAACCCTTGGCATTCTTTGGCTTGTGGTAGCTTCACTCTGTGTGCTGCCTCCATTGTCACCTGGCCTTCTCTTCTCTGTGTTCCTGTCCAGATTTCCCTCCCCTTATCAGGACAGCAGTCCTTTAGCCCATGCTCATCCTGTGACCCTGTCTCCAAACACAGTCACATTCACAGGTTCCAGGTAGATGCAAACTCTTAGGGGACACTTTTAAGCCAGTTCCACTGCATTGCATCTATGCTCAATAATTTAAGAAATCAGATGCTAGTATTCTCTACTGGGTTCCTGTATTTATAAGAAGGTAATTCAGAGAAACTGCATGAAATGGTATCAAACTATGTTTGTAGTTGCTTCATTTATGAATAAACAAAAGAGAAATTCTCTCTCTTTTTACAAGTTCTAGCAAGTGGTATTCCTCTGTAGGGTCCCAAAATAGAGTACACGGACACACATATATATATACACACACATATATATAATTTTATTTATTTATTTTTCTCTTTTATCATTGCTCATCAGTATTTCTGGACAGGGAGACAGACTTTTATTTCCTTCATTATGGTGGAAGGAATATACGTTTGAATTCAGCAGTGAATCATCTGAGATGCATTTGTTATGGAAAATTGCCATAGTGTTCAGCTCTTATGAGATAGAAGTCAAAGCTAAGCACATTTAATAGCTAGAAACGAGCAGTGTTTCCAAGCAATTCTTTTTATTATTTTTACACTTTAGATAAGACGGGTGTTTTGATGGAATGAATCTCATTACGCTGCATTTTCTGACACAGGGGCTGCGCTCACATGTGTGTATCCATGTTCACACGAAGTCAGATCAAATCGGTGGGCACCCTTCCCCTTCTACCTGAACACAAACAGAAATAGGGCAAAAACAAGCTCAGAGTTAGGATTTTTGCTGTTATTTACCTTTGATTGGAGAGAGCATTCCAAATACCTTTTGGACACTGCATTTTTCAGGGAGTTCTGACTCACTCAGAAAATGCAAATAATCTTTAAAGCATACACTTAATTGAAATATAAATAGTTGATAAAATGGGTTAAAAAAGAAAAACCTCAGAGATGAGAACACCTGTTTTTTAAAAATAATAATACTAAGTTCCCCCTAGGAATCAGCCTCATTATTTAGAGGCCTAAAAGATTGCCAAAACCATTCTCTATAGTAGTACTAATTTACTCCTCATGAATAATAAGGAAATAGAGGCAACTCCTCTGTGCATTCCCGTGATCTCATTGGATTTTCACCTGGGCACAGATGGCTCATTGTCAGCTTTCAGAGCAAAGGAATCGGCCTCCAACGGCTCTGCTTCAGGAACCCAAGTGTGGACAGAACCTTTCCTCAACATGGTCACATCTACCTGTTCTTCAGCCTCAGCTGTCAGGTGATTAACCTGACTCATCAATGTCTGCTAAGGTGAAATGCCCCTGTTGCAGCAAGATCTTTTTATTTTCATCTTTTGTAAAGAGCTGCTAGGAGGTTTCTTTCAAGGATTGTTTCTGTCTTCAAACAATGAAGTTATTAAGGCCCAATTCAGCTTTTTGGTCAACAGGGTCTCTGTGGCCTCTCACTGCCTACTAAGATACCACTGAGAGGTTCGAGGGAACTTAGTAAGTTTAAAAATAAAACCAAAGGAGAGGAGAGAGAGTGTTGGTATTGATGCTGTGTGCTCCTTCTGTGCCCGGCACCCACGAGACTCAGTACATCCTGCTACTCTGTGCTCTCTGCTGTTCTTCTAAGTCGCAGTTTACCTCTGCTAAATCATTCAGGTTTCACTGAGAAACTCCCATATCCATCAAACAGGTCTACAAATCAAAAGTAGTACCTCGTTCCCCAGTTAACAGAAACCAAGTAGTTTTTCCTTAGAAGACTAGAAAAAATACAGGAAGCAAAGGTTTTGTCACTAACGTCATTCATCACTGGGCCTCAGGATGGAAGGAAGGGCCAGCCTTGGGATGCCATTGAAATCCGTGATCCATTTTTATCCCTGGAAGAAGGGAAAGTTCTTGAAGCTTTATGTTCAAAGAGTGTTGAAGGTTTTAGAGGGTTTGAAATTCCAAATCAGCTATTTTGAGATCTGCGGTGGATGTCGGGAACTATAGATTAAGACCACTGAGGCTTGAGGTCAACACCCCTGGCACCCTCCTGGAAGTCCTCCTGGCCCTCCTGCTGGGAGGTCTCCATGCCTGCCCCACATTGATGACCCACCAGGACTCTCAGGATCCAGAGGTCACTTCCTCACAGTTATACTTTACTTCAGCACCAGATACACAGTAAATCCCTGAAGGGTGCAGGTGCATGGGGTGAACTCCAGAAAGCCAGGCCATCCTTCTGGAGTCCTATGGGGGGGGGAGGGTCGGAGGGGTGTTCTTGCAAGGGTCTGGTCACGTAGGCACCCTTTGCCTGGCACATTTCCTAAGTTCACAGCTCCCAGAAGGAAACCCAGTGTTTAGTATAATGTCTATTGTTTGCAGAAGCAGCTTAGGCACAGTGAGTCATTCTTGTGTTTAGGAAAAAATTCTATGTCCTTTTAGGGATAAAACTATCAGCCATATTCTCAGATGCCACCCAAGGACCAGTCTTCAGTCCTTCTGAAGGACAGAAGCCTTTGGCCCCCTCTTTTCCATCCATCAGCAAATGCTCTCGACTCTCCCTTCAAAGTGGCCCA